TTTTATTGAGCTACATCACATTAGCACACACGTCAGCAGCGTACACCCATGGGCAAATAGTAGACGATGAATTAACCAATCAGAACGCGCGCTTTGCTTTAGTTATGTTATAATTGACATTCCTCGACTGTAAGTTAATAAATAGTTCATCGTATCAGCTCTAGCCTTCATAACGAGCCAGACAGTCTATATAGCAACCACAAAACAGTCCTGGGATCCCGTGGAAATGAAGAACTTTTAGTCATTGGTCTCCACGTGACGTCAAGTAGGTTACAACATTTCACTGCGATTAGATCCATGTCGATGATCTTTTCTGTGAGGAAACTTTCGCGCGAATCTGTTATTATCCCTAGTATAACCCGAAATCGTAAATGTTCGTTCATTGTGCATGTTCTTACTCGCTTTACTTTTTAGTCCTCCTGTTCCTGCGCTCACGCAGTAGAGGATGAGAGTTCAACCGTAGTTAACGCAAATCTTCTCATTTCCTTATTTAGTATAGGATTTAATTAAGGCGGTTGGAAACAGGCACTTCACAACAAGAATACTGAGACGGATTATCTTTTACCACCAGTCTTGATCAGATGACGTTTGAATATTGATCCGAAAGGTCGCATGTTTTTGGATAGAAAAAAAAAATCAGTTATTTTCTCCTTGTATTAATTGTGCTTTCAGTCAGTTTTAAAGCCCTATTTTTATGATAAAAAAAGATTGATCGAGAAAAGCGCTTGCAAATGGTATTTTTGTTTTTAATTATTATGCATTATTACACACACTAGTTGCCATACTTACACAGCTACGCTACTCACAAGACTAATAGATATACTTACAATATTTATAATACTTCGTATTCAATGTGATTAATTCCGTCACTTACAATACAAAGGCTTAAACTACTTATATTAGTTACAATGCAGTGCATACATTACTTACAATAATGGTGTATCCGGAAAATGGTATAATGGTATATCCAGAAAAAAATACAAGAACAAAGTATAATGACAACGATTGCGCACTAAGTTAACTTTATTACTTTAGCATTACAAAATACAGTAATGCCTTAACTGTAAAGATTTAAGTAATTACTGTATACCATAATGATTCGATTTAGCACCTTTCCTCAAATAAGAGCTCCCTTTCCAGAAAGCTTCCCCTTTTTCAATAAACTCCCCTTATAATACATCTTCCTGTGTACATCTTCCAATATTCATACGTGAGGTACCAAGGAATTTTTTCCAAATTTACTCCGATATCACCCTCCCTGGGCTGGCTTGCAAAAATTTATCAAGGGCCTCGGAAGCTAGATCAAATTTTCAAAGCAGTATAGCACAATCAACAAGAGACTGACAATTCTCCTCATGAAAGTATGATACATTTTATATAAGCACTAGATACTTCTTATCTTTGTTAACTAAACGCTACCTCTTAGCACTGATGAAATCTAGCGGTTTATCCAAGCAATATCAAATTAGAATTACTGCATAAAAAGAAAATAATGGGCTAGAATTACATCCCGCTTTACTGTATTTGACAAAAAAAAAAAATACAAAATTATCAGCAGCTTTTTTAGTTTGTCCAAAAATGTGGCTCCTTCATGGTGCAGATGATATAGTGTACGTCTCAAAAGAACATCCCCCGGCCCACAAATCTATTGTCTTCGTTGCTTTCCTTGTTCTTTTGACTTTTTGTTCTCTTTGGTTCTACATTAACTGCGTCTTCATCCTCGGATACCCAGGGGCTACTAGCCGGGACGAAACGATATTTTAGGGCGAAAGTTTACCTCAAGAGCTGAAAAACCCCCGGGAACTTATTCTTACCGAACCAGCCCCCATGTTACGGCTTGCGACTTCCTCGGCTTCGTTGAATCTTTTTTTTTCTGAACTCTCCACGAGAATCTTCCCGCTGTACGGGCCAAGCAGGTCGATCGATGAAGAAAACCACTTTGTGTAAGAAGGCGACAGAATTACCCGGCTGGACCTCCTCGCTGATTGGCCGGAAAAATATTTTATTGGCCAATCAGCGGGATGGAATTCGACCACTGCTGGAACTGGTTCGGTAAGAATAAGTTCCCAGGGTGCTCTTCAGCTCTTGAAGTAAACTTAGGCCCAACAATAACGCTTCGTCCCGGCTAATAGCTCCTGGGTTTCCAAGGATGCTGCGTCTTCTACACCGGAGCCGAAAATGCTAGAAAGTATACTCTGGTTTCTCACCCGTATTGTAATATCAACCAGCTTTTCTTAAGAACGCCTCCACTGTTGAAATGAATTGACCCTAAGCTTGGGCAAATATAACTAAAGCAAGCAGTCTAGTTTTAAAAACCAAAAGCCTGACAAAGACAAAAAGTCAAAAGGAATAGTCTCGCTGATGTGTTTGGCTATCGAGAGGAGAGTTATTGAATGGCCAGGGAAAATTATTAGTATACTTGCCACTTAACACAAATCACTTCAAAGTTAATAATTTGGAATCAAGAGAGCTGTTTTTTTCCAATCTGGATTGCGACGAGGAAAACGACAAGTTTTTTTACTAAGCAGCCAACTCAACAATTTTCACAAGTCCAACGTTATTGCAGTTCCCTCCAGTTACACCAGAACAACCCTGACCACCACAATACGAGCCCCCTCCCCCTCCGGCTTGGCTCTCATGGGTACCACTGCCTCCACCAGAGTACCCTCCACCGCCACCTGATGCTCCATTATCCTCTGACCCCCCTCCCCCACCACCAAACCCTCCCACTGCTCCTGGGACTGGTCCCCCGTTGTACCCGCTGTTCATGCTGCCGGCTCGACCTCCAGTCCAGCCTTGACCACGTGACCCGCCTCTCTCTCCATGTTGTTTCCCTGCCCTGGCACACCCCTGAGCATACCAACCCGCACCTACTCCCCCATGGTGAATATAATAATAATAATAATAATAATGATAATGATAATAATAATATCTAGCGCGTGCAGTGTTGCATTCACCTGGCTGCCCCCCAATACCTCCATTTCGAATTTGAGATAAAACTTTCCCCACACTACTGGTGCCACTTGTTCCCTTTTGACCATCCACACCGTTATATCCACTTGAAGCTCCCCCTCCCCCTCCGGCGGCTAATAAAAGCACATTACTTGTAGTATAAACAAAGCTCCCTCCCCCTCCTCCCGTGCCAGCATTGTCCTCTACGGACAGTCCTAACTGAGCTGCTGTCTTGTTGGTGGTTTGCCCTCCTTTCACCTCCACTGAGTTTCCTCCTTTCTGTCCGACCACAATATTCAGCACTGTTCCTTTAGTCAGATTGAACTTGCCCTCAATGTACGCACCCCTGCCGCCACAGTAATTTCCAGGCTTGTATCCATAGTTGTACATGTGTTTTCCTCCCAGGGCTCCCCAAGCTCTGATAAGGTAGCGAGCGGTTCTTGGAACCGTGAATTTCTGAATAGTTCCAAACCGTCCACTACGTCCACGTGTTGTAAATGTAATATAAACTACAAAGGAAAACAGCTTAACTGTTTTAGAATAAGTGATTTGAGAGTGGAAATCAAATCTTATCTTTTTAATCCCTGGGACTGAATAATCCTAGCGGAATTCGGTATTAACCTTATAGAACCAATTATTTATGTTACTGGTGTTATCTGTTGCGGTGTCCACAGGCTTCCATATTTTACAACACCCTCTCAACCTTCCCTTTTTTTCCGAGATGTTAAGGTTTGTAATGCTATCTTCAGCTCTTACCTGTTTCGTTTTGTGTTCCATTAAATCCTGGTGCATCGCTGAAGTTGCAGGTCCCATTGTTCATACAGGGACAACATTCGCAGATATCTGTTCAAAGATACAAAATTGAAAGGCCTTATTTGAGAACTATTCACAAGCAACTATAAAGCCTGCAATATGAAGTAAAAATAATTGATTTTGGCTCTGGTTACCGATTTCGCATAGTGTTCCATTAAAGCCTGGTGCACAGCTGCAGTTGAATCCGTTCAGTCGGTCTGTACAGATGCCGTTATTCTTACAGGGACGACTTCCGCAGTCATCGATATCTGTTTCAGAAGAT